CCCTGCTCTGCCCCCGCTCTGCCCCCGCTCTGCCCCCGCTCTGCCCCCGCTCTGCCCCCTCACGAGCCGGGGGCGGCACGGCGGCGGCGCGCGGGGTCCAGGGCCCGAGGCCCGCAAGGCGAGGCCTATGATGCCTGCCTGCCTACACAACGCATGCCAACATCATATGTCCCCTGTCCCCGGCCTGTCTCGCCCGCGGCAGAGGCTCCGCGCGCGCCTAATACACTCCTCCCGCTCTGCAGTACGTACACTGTCAACAACAAGCCTACGCGTAATGAACACGACAGCCATGTTCCTCGGATTATACTTCATTATACCTACATACTTTCGCTGGTCGTATCTGTCGAATTCGAGTTAGTATTTCGTCGGTGTCCTTCGCTACTTCGCGCGGGGAGGTCCGCGGTGGCCTTGCGTCTTTGTGATTTTACAAGTAATGACCCCATCCCCATCAATTTGTGCTGTTAAAATGTAGGTCAGGTTTGTTCTTGAGAAAATTCAAGAACATTTCTTATTCACTATTAAAATCCTACGAAGCAATGATTTGCAATTGCGAAGGATTTTGATCCTTCTAGCACTATACTACGTTGCATTTTTCTTCGCAACTGCGAGGCATTGCTTCGTAGGATTTTAACAGTGTTACCTCGATTCAAGGACGCATTTCGCTGCACAACGCATTTACGTTATTACAACAATTTTTTTGTTGACAAATTACTATTACAGTTGGATAAAGTACACAAGTTACAGACGAGTTAAGCGCCCTCATTGAATGACCGAAAACCCTCAGAGGAGCTGCCGGGGGGAATGGGAGAGACATGTAGAGAGAGTGCAGCGAGTGCGAGGGGGAGAGATACGGAAGGAGGGGGTCAGGGGTAAGGTGTAATAGAGGTCTCTATTGCACCTTAGTCAGGGGTGCTCCCCGTTTTACACCCGTGGGGCGACAGCTGCACTGCGTGATCTCGAACGCTGCGAACGCCGTGGTAGTGTCGTCGCGCTGGTGACGAGCTTGTTGTGGTAGACAGCCCGGGGGAGCCGTTCCCATATCCCCTCCAGCGCGCTGCAGGCAGGCGGCCAGAATAGGGCACAGATCTTGGACACGGTGTAGAGTCTCTCCACCGTGATCTTGGACTTGACTTTGGGAAAAGCCCGCTCGTGCAGGCACCGTACCTTGGTTCCCCGGACTCTACCGCCGCGCTGCGGCCTGCGGCTATTATGGGAAATGCCCGCTCGTGACCAAGCCAAACCGGACCGAAGTGAAACTCGGTTCGGTTTCGGTCCAGTCGCCGCGCCACCTCAGACCAGGCAGGTTTAGATCGTGAGTTGAGGTGTGAACCCCTGCGCAGCGCAGTGCTAGTCAAAGGTACGTCATCGGTCACAAAAGATCTGTTCTACTCCAAGTTTTAGCACGCTCTCTAAGTACTCTGTCTGCTCTCAGAACCTCGCATCCGCGTGCCCCTCGCTGAGAACATGGATCACCTGCCCGACGACGCCCTGGTGGAGGTGATGCAGTACCTGGACGTGCCGGACCTCTTGTCCTGCCGCCTCGTGTGCAAGAGGCTCGCGGCCTTGGCGCTGCACCGGGACGCGTGGCGGCATCGGCAGCTCGCCTGCAGCGACCGCTGGATGTGCGTGGCGCTGCGCCTGGCGCCGTGTCTGGACAAGGCGGAGCTGCAGCTGCCGCTGAGCGGCCGACTCATGATCGCCACCACCACCACCTGCGCCGTGGCCGAGCTGAAGCTGACGATGGACTGCGCCGTGTTCGGCGCCATGCAGGCAGCCGTTCTGACCCGCCATCAGGCGTCGCTCGGGCGCCTCAAGCGCCTCTCGCTTGTCTTTTCCGAGGAGGATACATCCCTGTGCCCCACGCTGCTGTTCTGGATGGTGGCGTCGACGAGTGGCCTAGAGAGTCTTGAGATTCCGGTGTTCCCATTCTACTTTGACCTTAGCACCGAGAGTAGGTATCTTCCGGACAGACCCGTCTCCTCGCCGTCCTTGGAAATTTTCCGGTGCGGTTTTCACCGGAAGTCGGCGTCCTTTGTGCACTTCATCCTGGCCGAACACGCGGATACCCTGAAGGATGTTAGCATTCCCACGCTGACTTCGCCCTCGGATCCGTTAACGGCGTCCCTGCTCGCCAACATTCCCAACCTCAGCCGGCTGATGTGCCCCCTGATCCCCGGGCTGGACGCCTTGGCTGAGCGCGTGAAGCAGTCCCTGTGCTGGGTGCACCTCTGCGTCTCCTCGCTCATGCGACCCTTCGTCCCGGCGGCCGCAGACTTCTTGCGACGCGCCGAGGACCTGTGGGCGGTCACTCTGACAATCGATGAAGCCGGCGACGTCGCCCTGCAGCTAGTCGAGGCCATGGTCTCGTCCGGCGAGTCTGAAGTGAGGGTGTTGAGCCTTCGGGGATCCCACTGCAGATCGCTAGCTGCACTGCAGCAGATAGTCGATAAGTTGACCTCGATGCCGTACCTGCGGGTTCTGAAGCTGCAAGGTCCACGGGGCCCGGACAGCCCCCGCTGCGTCCACGCCTTACTGCACTGGGTCTCTCTCCAGAAACTCATGAATGAAAACCACCGAATGCGGCTCTTCGCTCGCGATGACCTGCCCAGGTACTGCCAAGGAGCGCCCTGCGATAGCTGTAAGAAGACTTGCTGTACGGCGACATGGCTGACAGAATGTGCAGTGTTCATGACTCGACTTATAGATGATGAAGACGACTGTTGTAATGTAGGTGAATCGGATGAGGAGGAGGAGGAGGAGGAGGAGGAG